GATACTTAACCGACTGAGCCACCCAGGGGCCCCACCGGTGTAGCTTTTTCAGAATCCTGACCCAGAGCAGGCTTTGGGCTCCAACTTTTTTCCTCTAGTCTGTGACATTTTCAAAAGCACCCTTCAGCTAGCTTCTCAGTCTCTTTTCCCTGAACAGGAAAGCTCCCAGAGAAAAGGCCACAAAGGCGGGACTTAATTCACTCGATTTTGTTTTTCTTTTCTTCTCTCTCCATCTGCTAATTCTTCATTACCTTCTTCTTGCTTCAATGTCTTGTAGTTTTGGGGTTCAGTTTTCCTTTTTTTCCTGCTTTCCTCAGCAGGTGGCTAGTCCATGTGACCTGCTGCACTGTTACTAGAAGTTGTTCCATGAAAGGGAGGTATATCCGGAAGTATCTCCAAAAGGCCAAAGGAGCCGTAAGACTGAAGGAAAGGGCTGACAAGTCCATCTTGATAAGAAATGACTTCTTAAGGGGACTTACAGACAGAAGTGTGTCTTGGGAGACCATAAGCCCAGTGGGTTTCCACAACCCCAGTGCCAGTAAGACCTGCTTTTCTAGCTCTAGAGGCTGGGAAGTACATGTTAGTAGCTAGAGAATGGCTCCGTATTATAGTCTTTTTTTTTAAATTTTTTTAAAAACATTTATTTATTTTAGAGAGACAGAGAGACAGAGTGTGAGAAGGGGAGGGGCAGAGAGAGAGAGAGAGAGAGAGAGAGAGAGAGACAGATCTGAAGCAGGCTCCAGGCTCCAAGCTGTCAGCACAGCGCTGGACGCAGGGCTTGAACTCACAGATGGCAAGATCATGACCTGAGCCGAAGTTGGATGCTTAACCGACTTAGACACCCAGGCGCTCCACTCCGTGTCATAGTCTTACTTTCAGAGAAGATCAAGGATGTTATGTCCCAGGGGTGTACATTAGGGTGTGGTTAGACAAAAAGAAAGAATGTGGGGTGAAGTGCTGTGCTCAAGAAGGCTTCTGATCATAGAGCACCCATCAAGGTGGATTTGTCCAAGGTGGCTTTACTCTGGTTCACACAAGAGTGGAAGTCTCTGTTAGGCATATACATATTTTTTAATTTTGAAAGTGGGGGACCGGGGGGTGCAGAGAGAGAGAGAGAGAGAGAATCCCAAGCAGGATCCATCAGACCCATCAGCACAGAGCCCGATGTGGGGCTCAATCCCATGACCCCGAGATCATGACCTGAGCCAAAATCAAGAGTCAGACACTTAACCAACTGAGCTACCCAGGCCCTCCTCTGTTAGGCATTTTTAAGAGATTATTCTCATATCTCCTACTTGTTTTGGGTTCCTTTGATGGGAAAAATGTGCCTTAAACTCCCATTTATTTGGCATGATTAGAGACTACAGAAGAAATAAATTATGTCAAGCCCCAACTGCTTTTGAGTTAGCTTTGACTAAAACTCAGAGACCACACATTTTTTTGGGGGGGGGGGGAGATAAATTTTACAAAGCTGCGGATACAAAGGCTTTTGAGAATGTAAAACACTGGTTTAAGAATTAGCCTTTCACGGTTGATAAGAATTTTAAGTTACGTCTATACCTATTCTGAGTCTTGTCATGAATCTGAGTTGCTTTTATCTGCTTACTAATAAGGTACAGGGAGCTTCCTTTCTGTAAGGTATCAAAAGATTTATTTGAATAATATCCTTGAGGTTATGAATGTTTGATATAGACAACTACATTTGTTGAGTGCCTGTTGTAGAATTCTTTTTTTTTTTAATTTTTTTTTAACGTTTATTTATTTTTGAGACAGAAAGAGACAGAGCATGAAAGTGGGAGGGGCAGAGAGAGAGGGAGACACAGAATGTGAAACAGGCTCCAGGCTCTGAGCCGTCAGCACAGAGCCCGACGCGGGGCTCGAACTCACGGACCGCGAGACCATGACCTGAGCCGAAGTCGGACACCCAACCGACTGAGCCACCCAGGCGCCCCTAGAATTCTTTTTTAAAAAAGTCTTTATTTATTTTGAGAGAGAGCGGAAGGAGGAGGAGGAGGAGCAGAGAGAGAGGGAGACACAGAATCCCCAGCAGACTATGTGTTGTCAGCACAGAGCCTGACTCAGGGCTTGACCTCACAAACCATGTGATCATGACCTGAGCTGAGATAAAAAGTGGGATGCTTAACTAACCGAACCACCCAGGCGCCCCTGTTGTAGAATTCTTCATTAAATTTTTAAACTGTTAGTCATAGGAGATTAATTTTATTCACTGGCTTTGTGATAATTACCTTGCTGATTTTACCTCACTGGTTTGTTGTAACTGATACAACTGGTTTAAAAAGACCGTGAGGAGTCCCTGAAAATTAGGAATGTAATTAACAGAATTCCTGCTAGTGAAAATGTATTTTGTTTTACATGTAAATTAAAGTGGCTGTAACAAAGTAACTTAGAAATGCAATGCAGAATATCCGTTTGCCACAACTGGGTATTCAGGTGAGTGGAATACCCTTGCTTATTTTTATATTCTCATTTTATCCTAACTTTATTCACACGTGGATCATCAAATTCTTACAGATTAAATGATAGTACTCTTAAAGTTTCCCTAAGCGTATAAACACTTTAATGGGTGATGATTCAGAAGGCATCTGTACTGCTAGATATTACTCATCACCTCTTATTTGCCCAATAAATAGACACCCCATGCTGGAACATTGGCTAAATGGGTATTAGCTGGAGGTGGAGGAAAAGAGAACAGCAAGTAATATAAACAAATAGCTTTGGAGTCAGACTGACAGTGATTGAAATCCTTACTAGCCTGTGCTCCCTGGGTAAGTTACTCTGAGTCTCAAGGTCATCATCTGTAAATCGGGGGTAATGATATTAGGCATCTTACAGGGTCTTTTGCGGGGGAGAAAGTAAAGGATGAAGTGAGATTGTGATTATAAAGCACTTGGTACGTTTTGAGAGCACATAATAAGTACTTAAGAAATAATGACAGCTATTATCACCTGACTGGTGCCTGGAGGAATAAAGGCAGCTCCAGAATTTCTGCCAAGAGGGGCTCAAGAGCAGTCATCACACTGGAAGGTGGGAAAGGACACTGCTGTGACATTGATCCCATGCTTAGGCGAAGAAAATGAGAAAGGATTGGAGATTTACAGGGATTAGAGAACGATCCATCCCAACCATTCCCACCACTCTGCCCACATTCCTTGGCACTGCTCCTGTTCAGTGATATTCAGGGGATTTCTTGCACTCCCCCTTCTGTCCCATGCAACTAACCAGTCAACAAAGACAAAAAGCCGCTGCCAACAAAGGATTGAACTCACAACAAGAAGGGAAAGGGAGACGGGCACTGTGTTTTCATGCCAAGTGTGTGATGCCCTGTGCTTATGCCTCTCCTAGATACTGCTTATTCCCTTTATACAGATTGTACCCCAGCCCCCCACTCCCGCTTGACTTCAGACAATCCCCATTTCCAAGGAGAGAGGGGCAAGATCTTTGTTTTTATTGGCCACAGACAGCAGATGCCCCCCCCCCCCCCCCCCCCCCCCCTCGGCACAGGCTGGTGTCCAATAGCCCCTCAGATCCCTGGAGGACACTGCCCCAATTCCTACGCAGCCTCTGTTGAAGCCTGCAGGAGTCAAACAGACATCCATTCTCAGCACCAACTCAGGTGGATGATACACTCAGGCAACCAGAGTCTAGGCCAGTCTCTCTGGCTTCTGCCTGAACACACTCTCTTTACCCAGGCAGAGGCTGGATCTTTGCCTCTAGAGGCCAATCCCCTAGGTTTGAAATCCAAGGTTCACCCCTAGTTAGCTTGTGACCCTAGGTAGGCGATTTTTCTGTGCCTAGTTTTCCCCACACCAAGACAGACTCCAAAGACTATTATTAATCTGCAGGGTTTGGCACAGTAACTGTTCATAGAAAACTTTCAATAAACATCAGGTCTGATTACCTTACGGGCCCTGGACCAAAACAAACCTATTAAGTTGCTCTAATTATATGGTGAAAGACCCCAGTTTCTGGTTATAGTCTCAACACTGACACTAACCTCAGACAAGTTGGACTTCTTTTCGGTCCTGTTTTCCCAACCATCACACGATGGACTTCACGGATTAGACAAAAAACAAAACTCGGTGAACATTTATTGAGTGCTATCTTCCAGGTTCCTTCCCCAAAAGAGGACGTACAATTATTAATCAGGCACTGAGCACACTCACCCAGTGGTGAGGGACACTGAGGGATAAAGACTTGTTTCATTTAGCTCTGCTTTTAGCGATGGATGCTGGGCCAGAAGTGCATGTGAACAAAGCTGGATGATTCACGAGTTTGCCTTGTAATTACTGGCGATGCTTTTAAGTTACCCTTTCAAACTTGAGCATTTGCAGGGATTTGGTTCTGAAAATAAGCCCACTTCTCCTTTTTTTACTGCCGAGGTCACTGTGACTGAGAGAGGAGCCACATAAAGCAGGTCATGCCTCCTCTTCCCCTTTCGAGGAACCCTGACCCCCGGGAAACTACGCGACCAGGGAGGGGAGGGGGGTCCTGCTCTGGGGGTGCAGGGCGAAGCCGTTCCGACCGGCCAGTGCCTTTCAGCCTAACTGGAACCGAGAAACAGGAGGGGCTAAGCCGGAGCGTGGCAGTGCCGGCCTCGCCTCGTACAAGGGCATGCTCTGAGCGCCCACGGCCGCGCGCCCCAGACCTGAAGCGCCGCACCATCCAGCCCCGGGTTGGGGAGCGCTCCCGCTCCGGGAGGGTCAGCTTTGCGGAGACTAGGTCTGTCCCGCTCCACCCGGGGCTGCAGCCGGGCACCACCAAGCTGCGCCGGGGTACCGCCGCAGATCCGGGCCACCGAATATCGGAGAAAGCACACGGACAGTAACGCCGTCCGTCCCGGCCACCGGGTATCAGTGAAAGGGCACAGACCGCACGCGCACAGGGTCACGTGGGCGGGGCGGGCGCGTGCCCCCGCATCCACGAGAGGAGGCGGGGATGGGGGCGGGGCCGACAGCGCGGCCTCCCGTGAAGCCTCGCGCGGGGAAGGACCGGAACTCCGGGCGGGCGGCTTGTTGATAAAATGGCGGCAGGAGCTGCCTGGGCTTCTCGAGGAGGCGGTGGGGCCCACACCCGGAAGAAGGGTCTCTTTTCAGGCTAGTGCGGCGGCCGCTGCGGACCCGGAAGTCCGGGCCGGTTGCTGAATGAGGGGAGCCGGGCCCTCCCCGCGACAGTCCCCCCGCGCCCTCCGCCCCGACCCGGGCCCCGCCATGTCCTTCTTCCGGCGGAAAGGTAGCAGAGGGGGGCTCCGGCGGGGAGCCAGGCCGGGCCTCAGGGGCGGCGGTGGGGCAGGTGGGCCTGCACGGGCTTCCTCCCGGGCGGCGGCGGCGGCGCCCTCGGCCTCCGCGCAGACGCCCCCTGCGTGCCTCGCTTTGCTCCCGGACTCTGCAGGGAGGGAGAAGGTGGCTTCCTCGCGCGAGGTCAGGGGAATTGTCTCGCTGGTCCGAAAGTGTTTGCCGAAATTCATCCAAGTTAATGCCTGTTTGCGTAAAAAACAGCCTTCGCGTTTGTGTGTGTGTGTGTGTGTGTGTGTGTGTGTGTGTGTGTGTGTCTAAATTGTGAATCAAAAAAAAGGAAATTCCTTTAGTACCTTGTTAAGGAAGTCTCTGACTTTTCAGAATATTGAGGGTTTTATGTGTCAAAGCAACATGTGAAAATGTTTTCTTCAACTAGTGCTGTTTTCTAGATTCCTCCTTTTTTGGGGGGGAAGGGGATTCTGCACTTCCTAAAATAACATTACTTATTGCTAAAAGTTCCCTAATGAAAGAAACTAGTTCTTTTGATGACTTAGCAAGTCTACTGACTACTGGGACGCTCACTCTGTAAACTGCTTATATTTCTGATTTTCCGTTTTAATAGCTGCCCAGTTTTTAAGTAGAGGCAGCTTAATTTTGATCCTGGATAAAGTTGTTGTGTGTCATTAAAAATATATATGCAGAATGAATAAGTGTAGGTCATTTTGGATGATGGTGGTTCTTTGAATTCTTGTTATTTAAGAGAAAATGTACCAGAAAACACACACACACACACACAAACCAACAACAAAAAGCAACACTAAAACAGGAACGTGGATTCATATGTCTGCTCTGCTACTGCCTGTAACCTGGGACAGAAAAGTGTTAACCCACTTTTTTCTCTTCTCTCAACTGAGAATTAGATGATTGGTAAAGGCCCCATTCAGCTATGAATTCAAGAATTCCTTTTAAGTACACGGCCGGGCCGAGTTTTAGTAACTGATGTCATGGGGTGAGTGAATGAAGCTGTGATGAATGAATGCAGTGCTGAATGAAGGAAACCTGTAAAATGGTACAAGGAAGCTTTGTTGATAACATACCTTGGTATAGTTAAAAGCTCTAATTTGTTTGACAGTGTTTAGTTTTGTTTTTGAAGGGGAAAGAAAGCATTCTGTGTATAATGAGGCAAATTGCATGTTGCATAATAAGACTGTTGTCTCTATTCAACATTTGAATGTCTGCTGCTTGCCAGGCACTGTGCTAGGCCCTCACAATTAAGCCCTGAACAAGACAAAGTCCCTGCACCCATGGAACTTACTGTCTGCTGGGGCAGACGGACAAGAAATTTCTCTTTCTTATGTATGTGTGTTTACAAATTGATAACATATTACGACAGAGAGAACTGGAGAGAAGAAGCATATTTTGGTTTGAGGATAGAGAAAGGCCTCAGCAGGTGACCTTGAAACTCAGAGCTGAGGGATCTGTAGGAGGTCACAGAGGGTAGGGAAGAACACTTTAAGCACAGGGAATAGCATGTTCAAAGGTTGTGAGTCAAGAAAGAGTCTGGTGCCCTTCAAGAAAGGAAGGAAGGCCACTGTGCCTTGAGCTTAGACAGGTAGACAAGATTCAGAGCTTTGTAAGCCATAGTTGTTAGGTTTTATTCCAAGTGCAGAGATGATATTATTTAAACATTTTTAAAGAGAAGTGATTTGGTCTTATGTTATAAAAAGATCATTGTAGATGCTTTTTGCAGACTGAATGTGGCAAGAGTAGAAGCTGGAGATGCTTCTGTTTAGGGATCCCATCCAGTCTTTAAATACCACCTATATGCTGATGACTCCTGAAATTTACATCTCCAGCTTGAATTCTCTCTCCTGAATTAAGAATGGTATATCCAACTGTCGGTCCACTTTATACCTCTACCTAGTAGATATAGGTATATCTATTAATAGAAATGACAGACTAACACATGGATCTTTCACTTACGATATCTAAAATTTAACTCCAGATTTTTTGTCACCTCAATAAATTCCATTTCTGGCCTTTTAATTGTTCAGGCTAAAACTTGAGTATATTCTTGAGCTTCTCTTTCTCTCCTACTCTATATCTACATCAAATCTGTTAGATCTACCCCAGAACATATCCAAATTCAACCTTGTCTCGTTATCCCTGATCCCTGGTCTAGGCAGTCATCTCTGTTTAGATTGGGCAGTTAAGGAAGTCCTTAACATCTTCAAGGATGTCATTCAAATTTCAGCTTAAATGTTAAGAGGAAGCCGGTTTTATGAAAATCAAGAACGGAATTATTTTTCTGTAGGTTTCAGTTTGGTTTCCCTTCCCTCCTTGACCCCTATGGTATATTTTCAAATTGCATTATGCCACATCTCTTTTCAAATTTTTCCTGTGACTTCCTGTACTTGGCCCTCCTTTATTGAGGTCCCATTTCCTGTGTTCATCTCCTGCTTTCCTCTCTCATCACTGTTCCATTTATATTGACCTCTTTGTTGTAAAATACATTCCCACCTCAGGGCCTTTGCACTTACATTTTCTGTCTGGAAACCCCTTCCCACAGATACCCACTATTTGTTCCCTCGTTTCCTTCAGGTTTTTGATCATCAGGCATCTTCGTGAAGTTTTCTCTGTCCATCCTGCTTTTAACATTGCAGCCCCCAGCCCCTGCACTCCTATCCCCTTGCCCTACTTTCTCTACAGCATTTATCACCATCTGCTTTACTATGTGTTTTATGAAGATGGAAGCTGAGTTTTGTTCGTGGTTGTATTCCCAGGTTTAGGTCCAGTGCCTGGGATATAGTTAGGATTTTAGTAAATAATTTGTTGAATAAGTGAATAAAACAAAAATATCAGCTAGTAAAAAGTGCTGTGCTGGGAATTTAAACTGATGTGGGAGTAGATCACAGGATGACAATTTGTGTTCAGATAATAAAGGAAGGCTTGTCTGGGAAGATGGTATTTAGATTGAGATCTAAATGAGGAGAGAGAGCCAGCCTCACAAAAGACGAAAGGGACTGCATTGTAGCCGGAGAAAACTGGAAACACAAATGTCCTGAGGCAGGCATGAACTGGCTGTGTTTAAGGAACCAGAAAAAGGCTGGAACTTACTGGGAATAGGGTATGTTTTGGAGATGGAGCTAACATGACTTGGAGTGAGTGGAATTGTCTTTTGGCAGTTGTGAGTTGGTGACAACTCTCAGACATCCATGGGGTGTGTTGAGGAGGCAGTGGGATGTATACGGTTCTGTAGAGATCACCTAGAGAATGCCTGTAATATGTGAATTAGTTACGTTGAGAGGCTATAGCAGAGACACTGAAGTGTAATGGCTCAGACAAGAGAGATTTTTATTACTCTCTTGAGTGTGATAGTCATTGGGTGGCTTTGCTTCACAGTCATTCAGGGATCATTTTCTTCCCATTTTGTTACAGCTCCTTTCCTTAGGGTATGGTCTCTTCTATCAAAGCCATGTCATAGCCCCTTCTGTCTGTCCTCAGTCTTCTGACCCGTGGTAAGGAGGAAGGAGCAGCTTTAGCCAGAACGTGGCACATAGCCATTTCTAGTCATATTCTATTGGTGAGAATTTAGTCGTATGGTCATAGCTAACTGCAGAGGCTCCTAGGAAATGTAAAGTAACTAGCCAGTTATGTGCTAGGTTACAGTCCTCTTGCCAAGAAGAGGAGTGATCATGAATTCAGTGACCATGGTAGCATTTCCTGCCATACTGTAGACAAGAAGGGAGCCTAGGTGAGAGCTCTGGAGTTAATCCAGCTTTTAGAAGTGAGATTGAGAGGGGCGTCTGGGTGACTCAGTTGGTTGGGCATCCAACTTCAGCTCAGGTCATGATCTCACATTTTGTGGGTTTGAGCCCCGTGTCGGGCTCTCTGCTGACAGCTCGGAGCCTGGAACCTGCTTCGGATTCTGTGTGTCCCTCTCTCTCTGCCTTTCCTCTGCTTGCTTTCTCTCTCTCAAAATAAATAAACATTAAAAAGTTTTAAAAATGTTTAAAAAAGTGAAATTGAGGAACATGAGCCATTGACAAAGGAGAATCAAAAATAAAATGCCAGTCATATAGGAGTGCAATGTCATGGAAGCTAAAAGAAGATAATGTTTCAAAAAGAAGGGAGTATTGTGTTGAATGTCACTTGCAAGATCAAGTTAGAAATAGCTACTCAGTTTGTTAATGTGGAAGTAATTGGTCACTTTAAGAGTAGTATCAGTGGAATGGGTTGAGGGGAGCATGTGAAGTGTGGAAAGTAGCAAGAGTAAAACTAAAAAACACCTTTTCCAAGAAACTTTGCAGTGAAAAGGAACTAAAAGGGGCTTTTGGGTTAAGGGATTTTTTTTTTTTTTTTTTAAGATAAAAGATGTCAGAGCACGTTTATATGCTGATAGGAATGATCTGGTAGAGAGGAGAAAATGATAGAGAAGAGAGGTGTTAATTTGTGGGAGTAAAGTTCTTGGGAAGTCCTAAGGGATAAGATTAAAGCCTGACTATACCAAGATTTGGTTAGGGTACACTGCTGTTGGGAATTGTAATTGTAGGACCACTTGTATAAAGGTCAGAAACTTTCAAACAATGCTTTATATGGTTTATGGATACATAAATGTATTTAAAGAGTAAAAATATGGTTGGAAACAATAAATGTTCAATGTATGAAATTATTTCCATAGGGAGAGGGGGAATGAGATCAGGGAGAGACTTCAGTTGCACCTGCATGTTTTATTTCTTCTGAAAATTTTTCTGAAGCGAGTACAGCATAATGTTAAGATTTGAGAAGACTGAGTGTTGCTCAAACCTGAGTGTTATTCAAATTCTAGTATTGTCTCTGTTTTAGATGTTTCATTAAAAGAATATATAGAAACAAAAAGCATAGTCAAAATAAGGTGGCTGAAATAAACCTACAAAGATCAGTAGTCACGATAAATCTAAATAGACCAAATTCTTGCAAAAAGCTATATAGCTAAAAGATAAAGCAATTGGATAA